GAAGGGCGGTGGGTTGGCTGTGGGGGTTGATGTGCTCGGAGCAGGGTTGAGCTGATGTTCAAGGTGTTGAGGCCACAATGGCTTTTCCATTGCCCAGCAAAGCTCTGCTGTGGGGGTGCAGGTGGTGGGAGAGCCTGGAGATGCTTTGGGTTCCTGTCCTGGCATCATGGATGTGTCCATTTGGGTTTGTTTTAGAGCTAATTAGTTGGAACAGAAGCACAGGGGGGATAATCTGTCCCTGTCTGAGCACTGGTCCTGCCTGGGGTGATGAGCAGAAGAGATGAGACAAGTAGGACTGAGTTTCCCTAGCCTGGTGGCTTGGACTTTAGGGTCTTCATATAAAATGTTGGGCAAGAAAATGTTGCCCTGTGCTGGGGCAAGAACAGGGTGTTTCAGAAGTCCAAGTGTTGCTTGGCTGGGAGTCTCCTTGCCTAACCTCTCCTCCTTTTCTGCAGACCAGATGGTTTATCAAGCAGCTTCACCAGATGAAGAAGCACTGGTGTTGGCAGCCAGGAACTTGGGGTACGTCTTTCTGACCCGAACACAAGACACCATCACCATCAGTGAGCTGGGGATGAAGAGGACCTACAAAGTGTTGGCCATGCTGGACTTCAACAGCGATCGCAAGAGGATGTCTGTCCTGGGTGAGCAGGACGGGGTGTATCAGGGGACCCTTCCAGGAACACAGAATGTCCCTTCCATACTCCTTCCATACTCAGCCCTGCCAGGGGTGGCACTGGGATGGCTGCGATTGACTGCAACTGGCACAGGAGCTCCAAAGGATCATCCTGGTCATCCCTGAGGTTTTGTTTGCCCCGATACCTTGTTGAAGGCAGCTGAGAAGGGTTTGAGCAGCCAAGAGAGAGCAAGTAAATCAGGGGCTTGGAGGAGGTGTATGAGGAACTGATGGTCCTTGAGGCCTGATCCTGCCTTGTGGTGGGGACAGTCCTGCGCTTCCTATAACTGCGATCAGAAAAGCACTATTGTCCTCTGCGGTGTCTTCTGCAGCATGGCCATTGCACGGGGACAGTGATGACAAGTGGGAGCCATCTCTCTGGGTACCTAAGCTGTCCTTCCTCTCCCTCCCAGTGCGAGACCCCCAGGGCACGATCCGGCTCTACACCAAGGGTGCTGACACTGTCATCCTGGAGAGACTGCAGAGGCGTGGGCCCAACGAGACCTTCACTGAGATGGCACTGGATGTGAGTCCTACACCAGCCTGGGGTGGAAAGGGCTGGTCTCCCTGCTGCTGGCTTTGGACTGGGTGTCCTGGAGTCCCCTGCTCCTCCTTCTCCCTCTGGCTTCAGGATTTTGGTCCTTTCTTCCTTCTGCTCTAGGAGCCTCACCTGCATATGGGACAGGGGCTAAGAAGGCATCAAACCCACCTTCAGTGTTCTACATGAACCAGTTGCATTGCAAGGATGCTCATGGGGATGCTGTAGGATGAGGGAGGGAGTCAGAGCCCAGAGGGAGACCCCCAGATTCTGGAGGGTCTCTGGCTCTGCCCATGGGAGCATTGTGGCTGGCTGGCATGATGCCCTGGTCCACCTGTTTGAGTCATCCTGGTTGAGAGAAGGGAGACCTGATGTCTCATCTCTGCAGCGCTTTGCAGAGGAGACACTGAGGACTTTATGCCTGGCCAGCAAGGAGGTGAGCGAGGTCGAGTACAACGAGTGGAGCAGGAGGCACCACGAGGCCAGTGTCCTGCTGCAGGACCGCGCGCGGGAGCTGGACAAGCTGTACGAGGAGATGGAGCAGAACCTGCAGGTGGGATGAAGCTGGGGTTTAGGAGGAACTGGCTGTGCTGGTCCCACAGAGGGCAGGATTGTGAGGTTTGGCTCTTCGGGATGAGGGGGTGAAGTGTCCAACCCAACACCCATTCCCTGGGTGGGAGGGCAGCTGGAGTTCCCTCCAGGGGTGACTTTGTGACATGCCAGTGGACACTGGGTTAGAGATCTGTCAGGTTGTGTCCACCCATGGGCAAGGACCCTTGGTTGGATCCAGGGGTAATTCCCACCTCTGCATCTTGCCCTGTCCCATGTCATAACCCCCACTCACCCTCTTTCCAGCTGCTTGGGGCCACAGCCATTGAGGACAAGTTGCAAGATGGAGTCCCTGAGACCATCCAGCTTCTGAAACTGGGCAACATTAAAGTGTGGGTGCTGACAGGAGACAAACAAGGTCAGTGGAGGCAACCCCAGATCCCACCAACACATTTCAGCTCCTCCTCTAACCAGTACCAGAAAAAAGATACAAGACTCTGGGGATGGGCAACAACCTACAGGTTCTGCTGTTCCCTTTAATATCAAATAATAGCACATCCCACAGATCATGCCACCCATGGGGACATGAAAGCAGGGGAAGCTATCTGCACAATGGCACAGAGCTGGAGCAGAGTCCCCAGCAGCTGCTGCCCACCAAGGGCTGTTGGACCTGAGGGCTGGGGGCTGCCCTGGGATGGGGGAAGGGGCAGAACCATGTGGCCATCGGCCGTTGACATCTGCATGTTGCAGAGACCGCCATGAACATTGGCTACGCGTGCAAGCTGCTCACGGATGACATGGAGATCCTGGAGGAGAAAGAGATCAGGTGGGGAATCATGACCTCCTGGTTCAGGACATTGTTGCCCTGCTGAAGACACCTGAGGGCATAGGAATCTGTGCAGGGTGGGCAGAGCTCGATGCTGACAGAGATGTTTCTCCTTCCCTGTCCCAGCCTGGATGTCCATGGCCCTCATCTGCTGGTGCTTTTCTAGGTGTCCCCATGTATTTCTGTCCCTACAGCATTCTCTTCCCTGGCAGGCTTTGACCAGAAAGTGGTGAAGCTGCCTCTCCAGCCTCCAAACCACAAGGACAGAGGCTGATTTTTTATACCAGTGAGCCCCAGGGGCTCCCTCTCTGTCCCCCGTTTTCCCACCCTTGGGTACCAGCCCCATCTCCCTGGAGCTGGCTTTGAGATGGCAAAGGCCAACGGTAGGTCTCAGATGAAGCCAGGCAGCATGGCCACTGTCACCAGCTCAGCTCCAACCACCCCTTCCTCATACAGTGAGATCCTCAAGGATTACTGGGGGAGCAACAACAACCTCAACAGGGAAGCCCTGTGCAGTGGCCACCTCTCCCAGCAGCGCCCAGAGGCTTCGTGCCACAAGAAGAGAGCTCTCATTATCAGCGGAGACTTCCTGGTAAGGTGGCACTTGGATGCTCTTCTCTGCTCCCTGCCTGTTTCTGCCCTGGTGCTATCAAAGTCCTGGGTGGCACCAGCACGTGGAGGACACGATGTCCTTCCTGCCCAAGGGGTGGGAAAAGCCCATTTTTGGGCTGGGGAATGAAGAGTGGAGAGAGGGACACACCTTGCACCAATCATTTGTGCCCAACTGGTCTTCTGGGATGACACAGGCTGGCAGGTGATCACATGCTCTTCTGGTCATACTGGGACAAACTGGTCTTGTGGTCACAGTGCCTGCTGTGTGATGAACTTGAAGATAAGTGGGGTCACTTTTTTGTAGCATCCACAAAATTTAAGAGCCTTATTGAGGAGCTGGGGGCTCTCATGCTGTGAAGGCTACAGGTGAGGTCCCAACCACGTGTGCTCTCCCCTAAGGACAAAATCCTCCACACGGGAGAGGTGCTGAAGGAGAAGAAGGGACGGCTGTGGCGGTGGCTGGCTTGCTGCAGGGCTACGGGCTCGCAGGAGCAGGGCAGTCTGGTGGAGAAGGTTTTCGTGGACTTGGCCACCAGCTGCCAGGCAGTGATCTGCTGCAGGGTGACCCCCAAGCAGAAAGCCCTCATCGTGCAGCTGGTGAAGAAGCACAAGAAGGCCATCACGCTGGCCATCGGGGATGGGGCCAACGATGTCAACATGATCAAAAGTGAGGCTCAGGGCTGGGGGGAGTGTGGGTTTTGGCCAGCACATCCCACTGGTGGGGAGTGGTGGTGCTCCATCTGCCGTCTCCACCACCTCACCCTCTCCTTTGAGGTGAGGAGCTGGGAGGGGAACCCCCAAACCAGATCTCCACATTGCTGTGTCAGGAGGGGAGCAAGAAGCACAGAACCAGGACCAACATGGGTCAAGAGCAGGGTGGACCACTTGCTTTTGCAGTGGGGATGAACCTTGATGACACTTCAAACCCCAGCCTGAGCAGCTGGCAGAGATGTCTCTGCCCCTCTCCAGCAGCCCTGACATGGGGCTGTGCTCTTCACACGCCCAGTCATATCATAGAATCTCAGACCAGTTTGGGTTGGAAGGGTCCTTAAAGCTCATCCAGGTTCCAACCCCCCTGCCATCAGCAGGGACACCTTCCCCTCGACCAGGTTGCTCAAAGCCTCATCCAGCCCAACACTTCCAGGGAGGAGCAGCCACAGCTTCTCTGGCCAACCTGGGACACTGTCTCACCACCCTCACAGACAACAATTTCTTCCTCACATCTCATCTCCATCTCCCCTCTGCCACTTTCAAGCCATCACCCCTTGTTCTGTCACTCCCTGTCCTTATGAAAAGTCCCTCCCCAGCCTTCCTGGAAACCCTTCAGGTACTGGGAGGCCACTAGAAGGTCTCCCTGGAGCCTTCTCTTCTCCAGGCTGAACAGCCCCAACTCTCCCATGCCTGGCATGTCACTCCCGCAGCCGTGGCATGGAGTGATGGAGGGGGCTTCTTCCCTTTGCCCACCACTCCTGGATTCACCCTCTGCCCATCAGCCTGGGGACAATCCATGGGGAAATCAAGGACTTGGCTCCCCAAAAACCTCCCCCTCTGTGTTTCACACCTCCTGTCTCTGCAGCTGCTGACATCGGGGTGGGCATCAGCGGGCTGGAGGGCATGCAGGCCGTGCAGTGCAGTGACTACGCCCTGGCACAGTTCTCCTACCTCCAACGCCTCCTGCTCGTCCATGGCCGCTGGGCATATCTGCGCATCTGCAAGTTCCTCCGCTACTTCTTCTACAAGACCTTTGCTGGCCTCATGGCTCAGGTCTGGTTTGCTTTCCACAGTGGATTCACAGCTCAGGTGAGGGATGCTGCCATTAGCAGAGGTCATGTCCATCCCATGGAGGTTTTCACACCTCCCTGCCAAGGACCCTGTGCAGGTCTTGTGCCCGGTGCTGCCTGGTGGGTACGTGTCCACTGCCCTGGTGTCCTTTTGCCCTTGCCCTGGTATTGGGCTCCTCAAATTTTTGTGGTTACCTGGTTGAGATACAACTGGTTATCTGCTTTTTACCTGGCTGGGTTGGCAAAAGCACCCTGAGGAGATCTGGGAATGTCTCTGTGAGCTGTAGCTCAGTCTTGGACAGATGGAGGGAAAGATCTCATGTGCACTAAGCTGGTTTCCCCCAGAATGGGAGTGTTCATCCCAAGGGCCATCAGTATGACTTGGCCAATGCTGTGTGGTTCCATCCCCCCCATCTCCATCTGCTGCACATCCCCACAGCCCCACAACCCCATCGCTGCAAACAACGTGGGGCTGATGCAGATCCTGGGTCAAGTCCATGGAGGTTTCCCCAGCGTTTGGATGTGAGTCTCTTGGACTCACCCCTAGCACCTGCCCAACCTTTTGGAGTCTTTCCAAAGCACCACTGAACTCACAGCCACGTTCTTCTCCCTTCTAGCCTCTGTATGAGGGCTGGTTCCTTGCGCTCTACAACATCTTCTACACCGCCTACCCTGTGCTGTCTGTGGGCCTTCTGGAGCAGGTATGGGTTCACTGGAGCAGGTATGGGTTCACCATGCTGCATCCAGCCCCTGTGCCTGGACGCTGTGTCCTCAGTGGGTGTGAATCAGCCCAGCAGTTGTTGCATCCCATCTGCATGGTTCTTTGTGCTGGGACTTGGTCCCAAGCAGTTTGTCAGGCATTTGGAGCTCACCACTGGTCTTGGAGTTCCTCTGTTCCCCGTCACCCCAGAGCAAGTGCGTGGAGGGACTCACTGCAGCTGTCCCAGAGGGTGTTTTGGGTAAAGTGGCCCAATTCTGCTCCCTGTTGCGGGTGGGAAGGGTGATGCCTGGTGCCCTCTCGGCAGGATGTGAGTGCCAAGAAGAGCCTGGAGTTCCCGGAGCTCTACGTGATCGGGCAGCAAGACGAGCTCTTCAACTACCGTGTTTTTGGCGTCACCGTCCTGCACGGGGTCAGCACCTCACTTGCCAGCTTCTACATCACGCTCTGGGCCTTCGAGGACCGCGTTGGCAGCAAGGCTGTCGGCGACTACGAGTCCTTTGCCATCACGGTGGCCACATCAGCGTTGCTGTCAGTGCTCATGGAGGTGAGCACCCATCTGCCCTTCCCCATCCTGGCCCCGGGGCAGATGTTCAGGGACTGCAGCCCTGGGCTCTCTGACACCATCCCCAGCAGCGTCGTGGTTGGGGGATGATCTCCCTTGGGGCAGGGGAGGAATTCAGGATGAGTGGCTGAATGGAAGAGCCTTCCATGAGATGCTGTGTGCTCTGCCCTTGTCCCTGCAGATTATCCTGGACATCAAGTTCTGGACGGTGTTGTCCTTCCTGCTGGTCACAGCCAGCCTGCTGTTCTTCTGCCTCTTCTCCTTCCTGACCCAAAGCATTGATGCCTTCAGGATAGCCCCTGCCATCTTCCGCTTCCCAGGTGAGATGCCCCAGGGATCCCCATGGTCTTTCCCTTCCCCAAGGCAGGAGACCCCAGCTTGGTGCTACCAACCGTTTCCCACCCCGTAGATCATCTCTTTGTCACCATTTCTTGATCTTGCTGTCTTGATTTTTGACTCCGGTTTAGGTGCCATCTCCTCTTTAGACTCCTCAACACCTTTGTGGGTGGGCGCTTGTCCCTCAACACTTGTTCCCTCTGTCCTCTTCACCTTCCCTACATCACCCACCGACTTCTTGCGTTGACAGACGCCAGCTGGAATGCCCTGACCGACCCTTATGTCCTGCTCGTGGTCCTGCTGTCCCTGGTGGTGAACACCATCCCCTCACTCACCGTCCGCTTGTACTGCACCATCGTGGGCAAAAACACCACCCAGCAGGTGAGGGTGGTGTGGGGGCTGGTGTGGGGAGGGGTCCTGCAGCCAGGGTGCTGCTGCTGATGGGGAGGGTGAGGTTCCCTAGGGAAGCCACTGCCTGAGCTGTAGCAGTGGGATGTCACCTCTCCTTGGTGGCATCACTCAGCTGGTGGTGGTCTTTCATGATATTGATGTCCAAGTCTGATGACAGGGACCTCTCCTCAAATTGTTTCATGACCTGACAGGAGGCCCTTGAGGCAAGAGACCTGCTCCAGCTCTTGGAGAGAATCTGCTTTTGGCTGCAGTACGGAACTGGCCTCCTGGCCTCCTTGAAGCTACTGCTTAGGAGGCACTGGGGTCTCGTGCAGGTCTCAGTACCACCTGCAGCCTTGGTAGAGTTCACTCCCATCTGAGTTGTGGGTCATACCTTGCTGGTGCTACAAAGAGGTCACAGATGAGAGCAGGGGTTGAACTTGTGCTCCAGAGGTCCAAGAGCTTTGAAGACCCCCATGTTAAATATCCCATCACATAGAATCACAAACTGGTTTGGGTGGGAAGGGACCTTAAAGCTCATCCAGTCCCAACCCCCCTGCCAGCAGCAGGGACACCTTCCACTACACCAGGTTGCTCAAAGCCTCATCCAACCTGGCCGAGAACACTTCCAGGGAGGAGCAGCCACAGCTTCTCTGGCCAACCTGGGACACTGTCTCACCACCCTCACAGCCAACAATTTCTTCCTCACATCTCATCTCCATCTCCCCTCTGCCACTTTCAAGCCATCACCCCTTGTTCTGTCACTCCCTGCCCTTGGCCAAAGTCCCTCCCCAGCCTTCCTGGAGCCCCTTCAGGTACT